CGTATCTACAGTCCCAGAGCTGGGAAGGCAGAGACAAGGGAAGGCAGAGACAAGCGAATGCCTGGAGCTCTCTGGCTGGTCAGCCAAACTGTTGGTGAGCTCCAGGTTTAATAAGAGACACTGTCTCAAAAATAAGGTGGAGAGGAATAAAGAAAGACATGATACACTCATTCCCTCCTTGCTTCTCCTTTCCCCCTCCCTCTCTCCCTCCTTCCCATCCATCTTAGCTATCAGTTAGGCCTTCTAAAGGATTACTTTCCTTTAACATATAATGTATTGAGTATTAAAATGTCCATAATTTTCCCACTAAAAAAGTCCAACTAGCAACTGCTCTAAGGTATACAGTGCTATCCCTGTTGCTCCAGGCTCTGCCCACCAGAATTCTGGCTAGGAAATCATGCAGATGGCTCTTCTCTGAGCACTGCTTGGCTGTCTCTTTAGTCTTCTCAGCACAGCAACAGTATCTCAACTCAACAAATGAGTTAATGAAAGATCACACTATAGGAAGAGGACACTGTAAAACCGAGTTAAAACAGTCTTTGACTGTAATCAGGGATCAAGAACCCTATTTATACATTCACCAAGTTCATGTCAGTTTCTTCTTACAGCCCCCAAGACACAAATGTGGTGGTTTTATGTGAGGGAGACAGATGAGAAATACTTAAGCATACACATTACCACCATAATCAGAAGTAGACAAGAGGAAAAAAAAAAAAAAAAAAACAACACAACTGCGATCCTCTGAGAGCTTTTCTGAGAAGGTGACTCCATGGGATCACTCTGCATGGTGGAAAGGAGCTGGTCTGCAAAAAGGGCAGAAAAGAGGAGACCCCATCAGCCTCTTCCCGGGAGTCCCATGCCCGCACATCTTTTTCTTTCTATTTTTCTTGTCTTGAAAATAGATTTTTTTTCACACAATATATTCTGATATAGTTTGCCTCCTCCAGCTTCTCCAAGAACCTCACCATCTTCCTCCCCAGCTGAATCTAACCCTTTCTGTCTCTCCTTAGAAAACATATGCATTTAAACAATAATAAAATAAATAAGAAGAAAACAAACCAGAATAGGACAAAACAATCAGAAGGAAAAGAGCCAAAGAGCATGAGTAACACATAGACACACACACTCATACAATAAGGAACTCCATAAAAACAGAAAACCGGAAGAACCCGTAAGGTTAAAAAAAAAGGGGGGGGGGCTGACAAATCATTATGAGACAAAGAACCTCCAAGACTGCACTGAGTTCCTTTTGTTTTGGCCATCCACTGCAGAGCATGGAGGCCCCTTCACATCTTCACCTCTAACGTCTTCCTCACCAGGGGCTCTTCTCCCCAGACGACTCGGTCGATGTGCGGCCTGGCTCCTCCAGGCTTGTTCTGCTTCTGACAGAACACCTGGGTCTCTGGGTGGTAGGTCTGGGTTAAATGAGCTCTCCACCACTAGCCTGAACAAGTCCCATGCCGGGGCGCATCTGCACTGTCCAGGAATTCTGTACCATTACTGAGCGGCGGAGCCACTGAAGGAATTAGTACTCGGAAACCTTTCCTTCTCCTCCCCTGTTCTGGTCACCTGCTTATTCTTCCACGTTCCCGTAAGGTGAGAAGGTCAGGGAACTTCCCTTGACCCTGCCTGGCTCAAAGACAAGGCTGTTGGCCCACGCCGGCGGCCCGGGAGACCCCACCCCGACCCGAAGGCGCCGGAATGACGTCACTGGGGCGGTGGACTGCGCGCGGAGCGTGACGTCACGGGGGCGGGCCGACCCGGCGTGAGGTCACCTGGTGGGCGGGGCCAGGCTCTGGCCCCAGTGTCGTCACGGGCGGGGGCGGGCCTCGAGCGTGTCAGCGCAGCCGAATCAAAACAAGCCCGAGACCCGCCTTTTCCCTCAGGT